CTTTTTCTTTTTTCTTCTGAACACGATTTCGTCGCAGACTCGAGGAATCGTACATCCATCAACACCATGCTACTCAAGAGATCCATCCTTTCCGCATTGCTCATAGGAGCAGCAACGACCTCCTCCACATTTGCTGTGCCCGATGCATCAAGTTCAAGGACTATTGTCAATGGAGAAGAATCCACACCAGGAGACTACCCCTATTTCGTGCACATGGGTGGTTGCGGGGCTGCACTGGTGGCACCCGATATTATCCTCACAGCTGCCCACTGTGGGGATCTCTCGGGCAAAGAAGTCTTTATTGGTGCTTATGAGGTAAATTCTCTTGCAGAGGGAGCCCAGAAACGGTATTGCGAGCAATATATTGTAGATCCTTTGTACATCCCTTCATGGTATCCTTTGATGGATGATCCGATGGAAGGTTTGAATAACGATTTTGCCATTTGTAAGCTCAACGAGCCAGTTACAATCGACCAATCCTTTGTGATGCTGGAACTCAACGAGGATGATGCCTTTCCAGCTGAGGGGACGGACCTCCTTGCAATGGGTCTTGGTTCTATTTTTTCAGGTGGGATGACCCCACAGTATCTCCGGAATGTTACCGTCCAAGCAATGAGCGACGAAGACTGTGGGTATCCAGACTCTTATCTAACAGAAGATGTTCTCTGCGCAGGTGACCTAGTAAATAGAAGAGATACCTGCCAGGGCGACTCAGGTGGCCCCCTCGTGAAACGGACCTATCGCGGGGATGGGACATTTGTTGATACCCATGTCGGTGTTGTTTCCTATGGTCTCGGATGTGCTCACCCTGAATACGGTGGCCTTTATGCCCGGACAAGCAGGAGAGCCGACTGGATCAAGTCAACCAGCTGCTTGGTATTGAACAGCGTTGCCTCGTTTTGCGATGGCATTCAGAAGAAACCAGATCCTTCTTCTGACACAGGGCACCACCTCAAAATCGAAATGATTGCTGATGACTTTGATCAATGGAGTCTCCAGGACTCCAATGGTCAATTCGTCAGAATCCGCAGGTACAGCACTGAAGAACAGGAGATTAAGGTGGAACAACTGTACTTGAACCCAGACGAATGCTACACTTGGCGACTAATGCACAATTATATAGAAGAAATTTCTGAGTATGTGTTTTACCTAAATGGGGAAGAAATCATCCGCAACCTTCCAAACAAGTTGAGCACCAAGACGGAAACATTCTGTACCGGACCACTGCCAGAACAGGAAAAAACACAGGCTCCAACAAAGACCAAGGTTACGAAAAAGACCAAGGCTCCAAAACAGGCGTCGAGAGCCTAAGTTGCCGATTTTGCCGAATCCTTTGTGTCGCTCCGCTCGCGGAGAAGCGCGCACCCGTATTGCATAACACTATAAGAACATCAGAAAGAAAACGAATAGCTATCACCGCATAGATCCATCGTGAATGTTAGTTCGCTAGCTCTTTCTATAAAATCCAAATCAACGATGATGCTGCTTTGGTCGGAGATTTTCCCCCGGCTTGTAGACGGAGCTGTTGGTGCCAGTGTCTGTGCTATAGGAACCGTGCATGCGCCTAGCAGTGGCCGCGAGGCCTCGCGAAAAGTCGCCAGATCGGTTTCCCTATCTGGCGCTGCGCCCGGACGACCGTTGAACCCGGACAATCACGCTCCAGATGTTGTCTCCGAATCGAAAGTCGCCACCCTTCGCGTAGTTGGCAGGGTCCACGGCCCCCTATTGTTGTTGTTGTTGTTGTTGCTGCTGCTGCTNCTTTTTCTTTTTTCTTCTGAACACGATTTCGTCGCAGACTCGAGGAATCGTACATCCATCAACACCATGCTACTCAAGAGATCCATCCTTTCCGCGTTGCTCATAGGAGCAGCAACGACCTCCTCCACATTTGCTGCACCCGATGCATCAAGTTCAAGGACTATTGTCAATGGAGAACAATCCACACCAGGAGACTATCCCTATTTCGTGAATTTTGGGGATGTGCATAGGTGCGGCGCTGCACTGGTGGCACCCGATATTATCCTTACCGCAGCCCACTGTGGTGAACTCACAGGCAAGCAAGTCTTTGTTGGTGCCTATGAAATAGGCACTTATGCAGAGGGAGCACAGGAACGCTATTGCGAGCATTATATTTCTGATCCCTTCTATGCTAAACCTTTCAACTATCATGAGAATGGTGGCCCTAACGCTGATTTTGCCATTTGCAAGCTCAACGAGCCAGTAACAATCGACCAATCCTTTGTCACGCTGGAACTCAACGAGGATGATGCTTTTCCAGCTGACGGGACGGACCTACTTGTCATGGGTACCGGTACGCTCTCTTCTGGTGGGGACATCCCACAATATCTCCAGAATGTTACCGTTCAAGCAATAGACAACGATGATTGCGAAGAATACTATGATGAAGGTCAACTGACAGAAGATACTATGTGTGCAGGAACTGAAAGGTTGGACAAGGATTCCTGCCAGGGCGACTCGGGTGGACCACTTGTGAAACGGACCTACCGGGGAGATGGGACATTCGTTGATACCCATGTTGGCGTCGTTTCCTTTGGTTATGGCTGTGGCGACGAGCATCCGGGCGTTTATGCCCGGACAAGCAGGAGAGCCAGCTGGATCAAATCGACAAGCTGCTTAGTATTGAACAGCGTTGCCTCGTTTTGCGATGACATCAAGGAGAAACCAGATCCTTCGTCCGGCACTGGACACCATCTCAGCATCGAGATTAGTGGCAATATAGATGGTGTTGGGGTTGGGACTCCAATGGGCAATTCGTCAAGATCCGCAAGTACGGCCAACAGAGCATGAAAACCAAGATGGAACAACTGTTCGTGAATCCAAACGAGTGCTACACCTGGTCCATCTACAATCCTATCTCTGGCTGGCTTCCTTTCAAGATTGGTTACAATATTACTTTGAATGGGGAAGCGGTCATCAGCTCTGGTTCCTTCGGCACGAGCAAGACGGAAACATTCTGTACCGGACCACTGCCAGAACAGGAAAAAACACAGGCTCCGACAAAGACCAAGGTTACGAAAAAGACCAAGGCTCCAAAACAGGCGAAGAGAGCCTAAGTTGCCGATTTTGCCGAAACCTTTGTGTCGCTCCGCTCGCGGAGAAGCACACACCCGTATTGCATAACACTATAAGAACATCAGAAAGAAAACGAATAGCTATCACCGCATAGATCCATTGTGAATGTTAGTTTGCTAGCTCTTTCTAGAAAATCCAAATCAACGATCCTGCTGCTTTGGTCGGAGATTTTCCCCCGGCTTGTAGATGGAGCTGTTGGTGCCAGTGTCTGTGCTATAGGAACCGTGCATGCGCCTAGCAGTGGCCGCGAGGCCTCGCAAAAAGTCGCCAGATCGGTTTCCCTCTCTTGCGCTGCGCCCGGACGACCGTTGAACCCGGACAATCACGCTCCGGATGTTGTCTCCGAATCGAAAGTCGCCACCCTTCGCGTAGTTGGCAGGGTCCACGGCCCCCTATTGTTGTTGTTGTTGTTG